AACGACGAATTAGGCCGAATTTTGTTATCGGTTGGCTTAATATAACCCCAACGGACCGTATTTTTGTGAAAGATTGGTATTTTTGTCCTGATTTGTAGGAATCTGAAAAACGCGTTTCACAACTTGTCTCTTATTTAGTTTTATGCGTCATTCAAGATGGCGGCCCCCATATAATAAATATCATATTTATTTAATTATCACGTGTGCGCCAGCTGACTGTGATTTTACTATAATAGGGTGTGAATGTTGTGTGTACATCGCACATTAAAATTTGCATATAGTCATTAGCGTGTAACAAAGATTGTGATAAAGAAAAGAGTTGTTAAACAAAGATTATGATAAAGACTGAGTGGTATGAACAAAGAATACTTGAAATCGATACTAGGAAGGGGGGTGAAAGAAAAGTTATATAACATTTTATTATTTAATAATTTATTAAAATACATAAGTTTGTCCAACTCCCTGTGGACACACCTTGGCTGGTTCCCGCCTCATGTGTCATGGCGCACCAAGTCACAAGAAGTCGGTAACGAATAACGGTTTCGGCATTCTCATTGGGGCATCACTTTCTCGTTCTATTTCCCTTGGTTACCTGACGTCAGCGCTTACTTTTGAAAGTTGGGCGAGTGAAAATCTGTTTCTTTGGTTATCAATTTGTATAGAAACAACGAGTAATTCCAGAACCATCTCAACTATTTAGTCCTTGCTGGCAGACTGTCTGGGGAGCGAATATTAGTATGTTTTCAAATTACGTCACTCAGACGCGTGCCTTTGGGCCGGAATCCCGGCCCAGTGGAACAATATGGCGATTACTAGTTACCTGCGTCATACTTGCCATTCGCAAGGGACACTGGGAACCAGCGAATGAGCACACGCAGACCGCGCCCGTTCTTGTTGAGCAGCGCCCTCAACTTCAACCCTGGGTAATCTGCGGACACAACCAGACCGCGCCCTCAACGGTGAATTGTGTCAAATTTCAAGAGCCGTGCACGGAAGCTGACTGTGAGCGAACTGCGATTTGATGTGAACATTGATGCTGAACTGTTCCTCATTCACACCTGTGTTTTGTGATCGATTGATGGGTATTGTTCATTTGTTGTTTATAATATTGGCTTTATTAGGGACGAATTAGCTAATTTTAGTATTCAGTGAGGGACCGATTAGCACATTTAAACTAAAAGGTTAGGTTTCCTTTCTTTCTTTGATATATTTAAGGGATATCCATATTTATATGCATATGCTAATTTTTGCACCTTTGTTTATTTTACTGAAGTAGATTGCATTAAAGATTGTGGAGTTGAAGTGTATGTGTGTGCCGCCTGGGATTGGTTGCCCCTGCTCTCGGTCTTGGTAACTATATCGATGAACCACATGTATCTTTCCTGTGCCGAACCCCAAAATTTATCGTCCCCTTACACATTTGTTCCACTGTATCAATGATCTGTGAGGCTTTGTGAATGGTGTGTTACATATATGTATGTACGTTGTAACACTGGACACGAGGAGAATGTATATCACTTTGTTGGAGTCCATATTGAGTGAGAGAACAAAGAAAGTGTGTTACTGATAATTGATACAATGATAAAAGCTAGGATAAGGATTACGGAATGCTCAGGTGTTCATTATAATTTGTCAAATTCATGTGATAAATTACGTATTTTCAAATTAGTTTGATCGATCAAGTGAATTCCTTTATTCGTATATTTGGAGTCGTACACTGAGGGGTTCATCCGTCCAACTAGGTATCCTTTTTCACTTGATGTAGTGTGGTGTGAACATGAAAGTATAAACAGAGTTACAACTGGTTTAAAGGGCGGTCGTCGTCGCGCCGCGCATGTGCGAGATATATGGGTCTCATGTAAACAAGATGGCGACTTTGGCTGTTGAGCAGATCAACGAGTACAAACTGAGACCTTACCAAGCTTTAATTTAGGTATTTTTAGGTGATTGGAAGGTATAGAAGGAGTCACCGGCGGTAATTATTTCAAGTCGCACCCAGGTCAAACCTCATACTTGTGATTTCCATCAGAAGTGCACATTGGATTGTGGTAAAATCAATGTTTACAACACAAATGTTGCACATGCGTGGCGCGACGACTACTGCCGTTTAAATTCAAAGGTTCCATGATCATTTCCGCCGGGAAATTATTCACGCGATGAAATTTTTCTGTGAAATCAAATTTCGTCTAATTCACGCGTTTTATTATTCGCGTTCTCCTTGCAGATTTATTATTTCGACTTTGACCTTTCATTTTTTTAGTGATTGTCAATAAATTTAAAACAGAATCTTAACAAATAAGAGCAAAGAGCATTTAGGGGAGGACCATTTGATATCCTGAGGGACAGGAAGATTTTGTGAAGAAATTAAATTCTATGATTATGCTTGAAAAAAAAATCCTACACTATATGCATGTAAAACTGAAACTTTTAGACCTCTGAAAAAAAATCAAGACAAGACAGGACAAAAAATACAATTTTTAAAGAATGATTTTTATTGATCCTTTCCCTCAACAATTTTATCAACTATGTTCTGCTGTATTTCTGTATAAACTGTCTCTAACAATTCATTTATTATCGATGGGGGTGGTGGATTGACGAACATATTACCGACTGAGGGCAGTATTGCATTAGCTAAATACGTAACAGACGTACTAGTATTATTCCGTGTTAAAATATTTCAGGTGTGATCCTGATAGAAGTAAAAACGGAAACAATATTAGAAACTGG